AGGGAACATGAGCCCCACATATCGCAGCGACCCAACGACTGAGCTCCCGCTTCACTCTGCCTCTGCTCCCCCTCCACCAACTCCTCCGTCCCCTCCGTCTCCTTCTCCTTCTACGACTGACATCTTGGCCACATATTTTGCTTGTCGAGCGACGGCGAATGAGGACACAATACTGTCAGCCGAAGGAATGCCCGCACATTCATTTCAATGGAGCCGCTCCCTGCCCCTCGACACATCACATCAGCGGCAGTAGCAGCAGCAGCAGCATCAGTGTCGATTGACCGAAATAGAGAAATTCTATAGTTGACTTCGCGCCACGGACCCAACATCATTTATCAGTCGCCAGTTATTGCCAACTCGTCCAGATTTCTGCATACCACGAACCCTCTGAGCAAAACATCCAAATGTGTCAAAGCTAGCTTCGAGACTTGTCCTGCTCCCCGCCCACCTCACTCCTGCATCAGCGCCCGTGGCGGCTTCCCAATTTTGGCTTTGCCCTTGGCTGATGGCTTGTGATTTTTACTCAGCTGCAATTTGTTATCCATCAGATGGTTTTTCTTTCTTTTAGCCTTGTGTACCAGCAAAAAGAAAATTTATTTATAGCTCAGTTTTGAAGACTATTTATTGAGAAGTATAGTATAGTTCGGGATTTGTGAATTTGAGTATTGCATATTTGTTGTTAGTATATTTGTTAATATATGTGTATTGTTCCAATCTTGAAGACTTTCCTCCATAAATATGAATAGAAACAATAATTAAAGGTGAGCCTGCGTTTACAACATAGATAATGCCAAATGTGTTCCATAATTTCGGACATTTTATCACCGATCGTGATATAGATGTTTTCTTACCGCGATCAGGAATAATTCTGCATTTGGCAACAAATTGGGTGAGTAAACACTTTGTTTGCGTTTATTGTTTCAATGAATGTGTGTAGCTCTGCTGGGCTGCCGTGACTGCAGTTATTGCATATCATCAGCCCACTCATTATCATCATCATCATCATTATTATCGTAATCATAATCATAATAGGCCACCCACCACCAGCCAGGCGCAACCTTGGAGCATTTAGAATCGTAGTGCAAGGCACTTAAACCTTTCAACTCTGGGCCATAATTTGCCATATAGAGGCATATTTATGACATGCGATCCGCACATGGAATAATACTTGACTCATCATTTTATCAACCAGTTCAAAGAGCAGAGAGGAATATATATGGGAGGACTATATATATATATATTTATATTTGTATATATCATGGATATTATTTGGGGGCAGTTGCAGTCACAGCTCGTAACGGGGCACGTAATCAGTCGAAATAAACACTTGCGCCTCTAAAATAGATAAAAATATCTACACTTCAATAAACATGAAAATCAGCGACGCCCAGAGGCAGAAGCAGAGGCAGAGGCAGAGGTGAAGGCAGAGGCAGAGGCAGAGACAGAGGCGAGTGTAAAATGTGTTGAAAATTGCGCAGCAATGCGATCATAAAGCATTCGCCATTAATGACACTACCCGACAGATACATCCCATTGTCAATAAGTTTTACGCGCCGCAGATTGCCGAGCAGGCAGCGCGCGGCCCGTTCCAAAATCAAATTCAAATTTCCCAAACGAGCTGGGCTGGCTGCATATGCATTCAGTTGAATGTGGAGAATGGCGAATGACGTTACAATTCACTGTGCTGAGAGACGCGCCGGACGGACGACGGCATTTGGGAGCTGCTGCTGCGCGAATGATGGCATCCGCCAAGCGAACTGCGAATAGCGAGATGCGCGTCGAGCGACTCGCACAAGATACTCGCACATCCGCGAAATTTATCGACAAACATTTGGACAGGCGACTGGCGACTGGCGGCGGTGGTGGCGGAGGCGTCGACTAGACAAACTGTGCGAGAGGCGCAACAAGCGGAGGCGACACCAAACAGACGAGACGAGCAGCGGCGACGGCCTGGAAGCAGCGATGCGAACTGGCGGATCGTTGCTTCCTTTTCAATTATTAAGTGTTGCCAACTATGCGCGAATGGGCGATAAACGAGTCGACTGTGTGTGTGTGTGTGAATGTGTGGGGCACTCATAATTCGCGACACGTTGCCGCACCTCGACTGTATCTGTGTCTGTGTGTATGTCTGTGTGTGTGTGTGTCTTCAATCTTGTGCAATGGATCTGTAACTGCATCCATGTAGCCATTTATTTCGCATTGCCTGGCAGATAACTGCCAATGGGTTTGTGGCTCTTGTGGCGCCTCCTTGTTGTGCCGCCAACAACAATAACAACAACAACAACAACAGCTGCAGCAACTATATTGCCCCAAGCATTCGCCTCGCCATTTGATAGTTAATTTACGGCACTTATAGGCCTTTAGATGGCCTCTTTCTCTGCTGTTGACGCCAATACACAATTAATATTAACATTCGACTAATATTTGACAATCGAATGTTGTGCTTTAGATAAGCATTCACAGAGCATTTGTTGCTCATATTCCAAGTAAGAGATATATACACTAAATAAATTTAGATGTGTACAAATTAATAAGCTCATAACATAATTAAATAGATAAAAATTTTTTTTTTTACTTTTTACTGAAAACTTTGAGAGCAATTAGTCTGAAGACAAAGAAGCCCTACTTAATTATTATAAAAGTCTTTAGATTTCTTGATTGTTCTTATTGAAATAAGAATCATGTATTCTTATCTATTTATGGCCAAAAATCCATTTCATGCCCCAAATTTGTTTCATTTTGACTTTTCGTGCGTATTCAGAAGTTAGTTGGGCCAGGGCAGGAGCCGAGTGGAGTGGGCTTTCTGTTGGCTTTGATTGGGTAATGTGTACTAATGTAATGGTTTCAAGTTATGAGTTATGCATTGCACAAAGGCTCAAGGACTTCAACAGCAAAGTCCACTCATAAAAGTGCACAAAGACGGCGCACAAATATTGAAATAAAGAAGGATTTGCTAGCCCAAAAAGGATGCAAAACCAAAGGATTAACCTAAATAAATACAAAACAGATGTAAAAATTGTGCCAGCAGCCGAATAAAAAATAAAACGTAGAGAAAAAGAAGCAAAGAGCACAAAAAAGAAAGCTAAAAGAGAAACAGCTTGAAAAGCCCGAGAGCAAATGCCATTTTGAATGAGCTGCTGCTGCTGCTGCTTTAGTTTCGACTTCAGCTGTTTGCTGCCAGGGTTAGGACTCTGACTCTTCATTACTAAGGACAAATGGAGCACGACGTAACCCGGCCAGTGGAGGCGGCTGCTCGGCCGACCGCAATGATCCATCGCCTCTGACGGCCGCCAACGCGGTGAACGGATGACGGAGGAATAAAAATACGGCGGCAAATAAAAAGCAAACGCCAAGTGAAATAATAAAAGACGACAAAGAAACAGAAGAGCAAATGATGAGAAAAACAAATGCGCGCGTAAAGGGATATTCCGGCTAAATGCTGGCTACAAGTGGAGGCGGGGAGAGGGGCATGGCGGCCACTTCATTTTGTCGGCAATGCATGAAGTGTTGAAAAATGATTCCCACAGCATCAGCATCAGCATCAGCGGCAGTGGGAGCAGGAGTCGTGCAGTGCATTTGACTTTTATGCTTACTGAACGCCCACGGGGACTGGCGAGGGCGTTGAAACGAATCCGCTTTTGCACAAAGCGCCGCAGGATTTCAAATAGTTTCCAATGCAACAGACAAAAGCGTTGACCGACCGAGCATGGAAAGTGTTTGCCAGTTGCCAGCGTTAAGTGCAGCGGACACTGCAAAGCTCAGCTGCGTCTTGGCACGGGCTGCTGCTGCTGCTACTTCTCCTGCTGCTCCTGCTGCTGCCCCGTACTTTGGCATCATCATCAGCGCCCAGTCGACGTCATCATCAGCGTTGTCGTAAATTGTTTACTTGATGCCAGCAAAAGTTACTTCAAACAAAGTCATGTGGACACTGAGCAGCACCAGCAGCAGCAACAGCATCCTGGACATCCTGGCATGAGGCGCGTACCAAAGGGAGCTGTGTGCCAGCAGACATCAGACATCCAGGCAGCGAGGCAGCCATCAAGTGCAAAATGTTTTGGTATCGGGCACATAATGTGAGTTCTTTAAAAGTTTTATATGCACATGGCCACACTCACAGACGCCTCCTGCTCGCTTCTAGCCGAGCTTTGGCTCAGCCCCAGCTGCATATATTGCATATTAAAGTAATAATGAGATGAGCCAAAGTGCCAGCTGAGTTCACATTTCTGCCACATCTGGACATCTGGCCAGTTGAGGTAAATGCAAAATTTATGCAATCAGCTGCAGGGGATCAGTAAGTCTATTGAGCCAGGCATATGAACACTTCCCAGTGCCATATCATAGGCCAAACTAGGCCACTTATCATAGAGAAGCATTAAAAAAAATATTAAGTAAAAAACTAGTTTTTCATGTAGAACTTTAAGGCCTATTCTTTTCCTTAAATACTTTTCAATAAAATACTACAGTTTTACAGACAGAGGGGCTCGAGATCATTTTTTATAAGAGATTCTTATTAGCATTAGTATTGAAATCTGTCTAAATAATTAATAATAAATATGTATGTATGTACTATATGTTTTATGCACACAAAAAAAATATAGAGCAAAATAGGTAATAGAAAAAAAATTACAAAATAAATCAAATTCGATGTATATATGTATATATTTTGGAATTCATTTAAATTAGATGTGTATACTATAAATGTATATACATATTTATTTTATACAACTTTTGATATTATCTATTTAACTTGTTGTTTGAGAACAACATTAGATGAAGAGGCTGCCATTAGCATTACTCTTTTACTCTATATCTCCCCCTCTCTCTCTCTCTCTCTCTCTCTCTGTCTCTCTCTCTTTCTCTATGATTTGCATGCGTGTTCGTCTTTACAACCATTCGGCTTGAGCATGCTGAGCCGACGGCCAAAAAATTAACTTAAAATATTTTATTCATATTTACATTTTAACTACCAATGCCAACTTATATAAATAACCTCAGATTCCTTTTCCTGATGTTTAATTTAATTGTGAAAGAGTTAATTTAATACAAATTTATTTATAACACGAGCTCTGTTCAAGCGCAACCAAGGCTAGAAAAAAATAAATGTAATATACGGGGAATTATTTCATGTCAAGTTCTCGTAAGCTGAAATGGAAAAAAAAGTGAAAAAAAAAGATTGGATAAAGGGTTGTCCGTGAGAATGAGGCAGCTCTCTCTGACAGTGACACGGACGTCACTTACAAAAGTGGAAGTCCAACGACCATCTACCTCCAGCCCACGCCCACCGCCCACCGCCCACCGCTCACCTCTCACTTCCCAATGACCAGCAGCTGCATTGCTCTCAAAGTGTCCCTCAGACGTGGCCGTCCCCCCTTCACGTATGTCTCACTCTCTCTCTCTCTCTCGCTCTCTATGTGTGTGTGTGTGCTGGACACTCTATTTGTATTTCCTCTGAAAATTTATTGTAAAACTTAAAAGTTTTGATGGAAAAATGAAATAAATAGTGACATCACTAAAAGTAAAGAAATTATAAAGTGTCACCGGGGATGATAAGTGGGCTACAGCAGCAGCAACAACAACAGCACCAACAACTACAACAACAACGAGTACGTCGGCAACAGCATCAACAGCAGGAGTGACATTGCCAGCAACAACAACCACAACAAGAAGCACGACGACGAGCACAAGTTGAGGCAGGACCGTCAGGACTTTAATAAGGACATTGGACAAGCAACAGAAGCAGCAGCAGCAGCAGCGGCGCTGCCATCAGGACAGCCGGACAGACGCCCGCAGGACAATGCAGTGGCACGTGCAGAGGCCAACGAGCGGGTTGATTTAAACCAAAACACGCAAGCCCCCAGCATATAGAAAATAGCAGAGCAGAACAGAGCTGCCCACCAATTGACGTGATCGTAAGAGCCAAAAAAAAAAAAAATTTTTTTTTTAAATTGCATTTCTGATATTAGCGTGACTTAATGGGGTTATGAGTAAGTGTAATGAATGATTCCGTATTCAATTTAATTTAAAATGTAAGTGATATTTGATATTGAAACATATATGTTATACATACATATATACATTTTCAAATTTTTTATATTTAATAAAGAGAAGTGATTCGAAAAAATACATTGTAAATATACTGAGAATATGAAATACATATATTATTGGAATATATTTAAAAATTACAGAAAATTTTTCAAAATTTATAAGGTTCTCCTAATCATACGGAAGTATATACTATATTATGATTCAATTAACGGGATATATTAATATTATAATTTAGTTAGTTATAATCAAATATAGATATAAAATATAATTTAGTCTTGCTTAATAATATATCAAATTCTAAATTGCTATAACATTATAATATTAAAATTACCAAACATTTTCACTCATGGTATTTAGTTGAAATGGTTTCTATGGGCATTTGTAGTCAGTCTTGCCCATTTGAGGTTGTCCAGTGTTGCATCACACACACTAATACACACACACACTATTGTCGAGCCACTCACATGGGGCAACTCGTGAAAGGCAGCAAATTGACAGGTTCAACGAACAGAACGTCAAAAAACTTAAGAACTATTTAAGTTATCTATATTTTTTCCGCTTGCTCTCTATGTGTGTGTGTTTCTATATTTAAGTTATTTTTTATTTTGCTTTTTTTTTGTCGATTTAATTCCAGCAACATTTCAACTTTCACATATTCTCCGAGGACAAAAAATAAAATGCAGGACATTCACTTAAAGTTCGCCTGTCAGCTGGACGCTTGCCCTCACTTCACTCGGGCGTTTAAGTTTCCATCATTATTTAGCACAAGAAGAGGAGGCAACTACTGCCCCCAGGAGGGACCACGGCTGCTGACCACGACCCAGGCCCGAGCAGCGCCCCAAGGCCCCAAAACGCCTGAACTCCGACAGCGATGGTGCTGCTGGAATATTTGAATACTTTACCCTTCGACTCTTCACACTTTGATGTTGATGTATGTTTTTTTGTTTCTTTTGAATTATACAATATGAAAAATAATAGAAGAAAAATTAATATAAAAATTTAAATTAAATTAGGTATTTAAAACGAAGACTAGATATTTAAAAACTTTATATCTTCGATCGTGTTAAAAAAAAAAAATAGAAAGCAATTAATAGTAGAAAACTTAAAATGTTTTCCATCAAACTCTTCTAGCTCAGCTCATCCTTTCACTCTGTCTCCCTACCACTTTTTCACCTCTTTCAATCTATCTGTCAATGCTTTTGTGTTGCCTGCATAACAAACTTCATGACTAAATTTAGCCCGCACCAATTTAAGACATGTCCACTCGGTTGGCTAGTTGGGGCTCGGTGTGGGCTTTCAGGCAGGTTGACATATCAAAAGTATAAAATATTTTAAAAGAAATGTTTTCGGTGGAAAAGTTTTCAATTACAACATTATAAAGATCGACAAGCTGTCTACGGCAATATGGCTGGACAGGGCACAAAGCACACGCCAGCATACACCGGCCATGTGCCAGAAATTATTATTTATATGCGCTGCGAACGAAATTCCTGTTCGACACACGTCTCTAAGGATTAACAGGAGTGACCACAAAATCATCATCAGCACAAAAAGGCCAAAAGTGTTACGACCAGAGCAGAGACGTTGATGGCCAGCAAAGAGGGTGATAAACAGAGAATGAGAGAGAGAGAGAGAGAGAGAGAGAGAGAGAGAGAGAGAGAGAGAGAGAGAGAGAGAGAGAGAGAGAGAGAGAGAGAGAGAGAGAGGACGAATGGACAGACTTGTGGGCATCGAGCTGGCTGCAACGAAGTTTTGACGTCTGTCCGAACGGAAGCTGTTCGCAGTGAAGTTTTCTAAACTACAGAAATTTTGTATAAAAATGCCCGATGACTCAATTGACGAGATGAGCAGAGGAAAACATGAAAAAATAAAAACAGAATAGCAAAAAAAGTAACAAATATGTAGAAAAATACTCCCAAGACAGGAGCTGGCCGCTGGGTCCTCGACCAGTTGCTAGATCTGTGGAATATGCGCATGTAGCAAAAAATGTGCATCAATTCTGAGAGGAGGTGGGGTGGGCAGCACACTGAACTTTCAGTACGGCGAGGAGTGTCCGAGCTGTCAAAAGCCACTATAAACTTGTGACGTGTCAACCGTCACAACATTCCCCAAATGACCCAACCTCTAATTCCGCCCCATCAGCCCCCTTCCTTGCCGCAGCGAGGACCCCTCGGCTGCATGTGAAACTTTTGAATTTATTTCTCTTCCGCTTTTCATTTTTGTTCCTTTCTTTTGCCGTAAGTATGTAATTTTTTAATAACGGTAAACGGCATGCCATGCATGACAGTTGAGCGAGCGACCCCACTTAGGTGCGGGGGGCCACTAGGTGTTTGCTGTACATAACTGTCAGCTTAAGTGAAAAATGTCATACGCGCGTCCGTTCGAAAGCTTCGTTCTGTCTGGCCTCAAGAGCTCGCCGTGCAGCACCGTACAACAGCGCCCCCTGGCGGCCTCTCAGGCACCGCGAAACTTTGCACATCAAAATCAGACGGCATGTCAACGTCATTTGCCAACTGACCAAAAGAATACGTTAACGTGGATGAGGACGACAGCGTGACGGCAAAGTGGACGAGAAAGACTGACGACTGACTGACGAAAGAGAGAAGAACGAAAGAAGAGAGCCAGACAGAGAGTGAGTGGGAGAGACTTAAAGTTCCATTTTGGTGGCTGGCCAACTGTCATCTGCTGACACTGGGTGTCACAAATCTCTCAGTCAGCTTAATGAGTGCTCACATAATAATTATGATATTATTTTATTCATTATGCCAGCGTATAATATATGTAAGTTTACTGCAGTCTAAGAAGCCTAAGCTAACACTTAAGAGTAAAGAAAATAAAATGGGTGCAAACGACCTAACATGCATATTAACAAACTATGAAATCCAAGTAGGGAGTATATTATTATAAAGAGTTTCTATGTTGGAGAATTTTGAGTATACCTATTTCTTTTATCTCTCTCTTTTTCTCTCTCTCTCTCCCTTTATATTTCTGAAAAGCTTATAAAGATATTCCTGTCTATATTGTATATTTCTCTGTTTCAATTTACATATTCCTGCTTTCAAAACTGTTTCTATGGCTCTATCTCTCTCTCTCGTTCTCTGTTTCTCACTCCCTCTCTCTCTCTCTCTCTCTCTCTCTGTCGATCCTTAATTTTTCATCACTGACCGTGCCTGTTGATCTATCTCTCTCTCTCTCTCTCTGTTTCTTTCTCTCCCTCTTTATCTATACGTTGATCTATCTACATATATATTACTCTCTCTTACTCTCTATCGACCGCTCTCTCAAACATATCTCTCTATTTCTGTGGTAGTCAATCCCTCTCTGTTTCTTACTCTCCCGCTCTCCCTCTTTCTCTTTCTTTCTCTTCTTCACTCTCTCTTACTCTATCATATCGACTCGTTTTTACTTGCTTTTAAAGTGGCATTGTATTGACCGTCGTGAAGTGATTTTGTTGTTGAGCTTTATCAGAAATAAAAACAATTCATTTAATGGATGTGCTTCCCTTTTACTATTTTATAATATATATATATGTATTAGTCGAAATCCATATATGTGAATGTGTGTGTTTTTGTTAGAAAAAGGCCACTGACATTTTACAATCGGACTTATGACTGAGCCTGAGAGACACTTGCACAAATGAACATTTGCAGAAAGACTTCGACTTCGACTGAGTGACAGTCGGCAAGACAGCCGACAATGTTCAGTTTTCACAAATACTCACAACACTAAGATGGCAATACTTGCTACAGACACATGCACTCACACACACACACACGCACACGCACACAGACTCAGTGCTAACTAAACAAACACGTACATACTTGTATGTCAAAAGTATTTCGAGATTTTTAGCTACAAAAACTGCCAATAACAAAACTGGAAGCATCCTCGACGTACATGTGGAACCAAAAACAGCCTCAGCCCGCTCGCATGCCATCAACCCGTTGGCGGATGCAGTTTGGACAAATGACAGCAGACATAGCCTCATCTCGCCTCAGTCCTCGTCCTTCATCCTTCGTCCTTCGTCCTTCGTCGTTCTTCCTCACGCACCACCCACACGGCGACAGGGTAAGACAAGCAAATGATGAACCGGCATAGAGAAGACTTTAGATTTTCATTTCGCCTTTGAGCCTGGAGAGGCGAGGAGGAGCAGGACTAGCTGCTGATGTACAGGAAGTTCATTTTGCGTTAGGACATGGCAGGCTCATCGATGGGAGGCAAGTGAAATGAGCAAAAAACGTCTGGCGGTTGACAACTAACAAACTTTTTTGTCATGTACATAAAATATTTTATTGCATTTGTGATTCTCAAGTGAACAGAACTCGTCGGTCGCACTCGATGCTAGCATAGGTACTCCTTGCAGTCCCTCCAAAATATCTAGCAATCTCTTTGCCCCACTGAATAGTT